ACAAATACAGGTTTTTTTTTCTCATGCAAGAGCTCTTTAGCAGAGCTCTACCCTGGAAGAGCATTGACCCAACGCTCACTTTGAGAGGGGGCGTTTGTCATTGGTGATGACGAAACACACCCTCTCTGCCCCGCCCCCTTTTTAGTGGGCCGCTGTACTGAAAAAAATGCCCGGGCGAATTTTTATCCCAGTCCAGCCCTGTGTGCAACAATGGGCAGTTGTGATTGACTGAGAGTGACTCACTGTTTTTAGCCTAACAGAGCTCCAACTGACGGTATGACTACAAGGAAGTGTATGATCTCTGCCTTAGCCACACCTCCAGAAGGGGCCAGACTGCATGTGGCCAGGTACACTTATTTAGTGTTATTTAGCTTTAAACTGTGCTAAAGTGACAGTGCCTGGGGACTCCACGCACTATGACCAATGCAAAAAGATGAAATGGTTATAGTCACTAGAGTGTCCCTTTAAGCCGTATACATGTACCTTGTGTCATTCAGTGTTTGAAACCAACAGTCAGTCTCTGTGGTCTTCCCAGCTTCCGTGCTAGGAGTGAAGCAGGGCATACCATAGAGACTAACTGTTGGTTTTCAAACACTGTCTGACCCAAGGCGCATGTACAGAATACGGCTGAAGGATCCTGTCATAGACTAAAGGTAGGCATGAGGTTTTCTCATTTTTTTTTTACATATATTTAATTTTAAAACAATCTGATTAAATGATTACTAGATTAAAACATTGCTTTGAGGCGACAGCTGTCCTTTAAGAAGGAATGTGGTGTCTTTTGTAGCTTAAAACAGAAATCTAATTAGGTTGGGTTTTCACCTTCTTTGTGGTCAAAAGCAGAGACAAGAATGCAGGAAATGTTGGATTTGATGGAATTTTACTTTGTAAACTCGGGCGTGTTGGCAGGGCTCTAGGGAATAAGAGTGTGTCCCAAGTTTCACAGCAGGTGAGATTATGGATGAAATAAATAGGCAAAGTTAACCACATTCACTGAGCGCCTATCGTCTCATTACTGTTCTCAAACCACGGCTCATTGACGTGTTAAGTTGTGTTTTATATTTAGATGTGTTGGCCTTGCTGGGTCAGTTGGCATTCTGGGAAGATGGCAAGTATGACACAAACAGTGCCTAATTCTGCCACATTTACCCTAGAGTTTATTCACTTTATTTACTATGATCATTTCTTTTGATAGCTTACAAAAAAAAACAGAATTTAAATGTGAAATTAATTTATTTGTGCTAAATATAGGAGCAACTCAATGGCCTGAGATTTTGTGTACCTGAACCCTCTACCATTCCCTTCTAAATGAAAGGTTTACAGACAAGAGAGGAGTTTCTCGCTATTCTTTTCCAATCACAGAGCTCAATCTTGACCATTCAATGTGTGGAAAGGTCTTTGTAATGACTTTCTCTGCATTTAGTGCTTAATCTACATGGAGTTCTTAATCACATAAAAATAATTTATACAGCTTAATCGAGACATGGTAGAGTTTTATTTGGCGTGTATGATGGGACTGATGAAAGTAAAAATCTTTCATCGAGACTTGTGATTGTAAGTATGAAAACACATTTTTATGGGATATTTTCAGCTCTCAATTTCAGTGGGCAATAAGATTGGAAACAAGCAGAATAGATTTTGGGGAGAAATTTGATCAGATTCATTAGAGAAGATACATTGCAGGAGTAATTGATGGTTGTTTGAAGTCTATTAACTGCATTTTGCGAGAAACAGAAATACATTTTTGGTAAATATAGTTTAGACCCAAATGATCATTTTCGGCCAATATTTAATTAAAAACTCTGAGAAAAACCTCAAACCAGCCAAGATAACACTATGTGCCAGCTGCAATCTGTAATATAGGTAGTAATTTGTTCTTGGTTGCAGTTTGAGATCATGAAAAAAATTTTTTAGATGTAGGCTGGTAAGTATAAAATGCTATCACCCAAAAGCACATAGAGATCTCATACTGGATATAGGGAAAGAGTTAAACATCTTCGTATTAGTTAGGTACATATTAAAATTGAGTAAAGACCAGTCAGCCAATCCTACTGTTAGAATACGTTTGAAGGAAAACAGTGGAGACAGTAGAAGGACACACAGCCAACAAGAGATGGAACGTTAATAAGACCCCAGTACCATCTAATGATTGATAAAGAGATACGAGGAGAATAATGAAATTGCACAGAATTTGGGTAATTAATTCATTAATATTGTTGAGATCAGTAAGAGCAGTGCTTGGAAGAAACATGAACTTTCTCATTGGAGACCATAACTTTGGTCTTCAGATTATGGGCTCATTTCAATAACTGCGTAAAATACAGCCTTTTTAAAGAAGTTAAAAACAACTCTGGCATCCGGAAAGCGATTATGGCTTCGTTTTGTCACCAGGTTCCCAGAGTCCATTTTTGTATTTGACGTCTGTTCTTTATTCACATTCTCTTCCACTGATTTGTGATACCACTTTGCTTGTACTGGTTTTGGACTTGTGAATATGTCAAGAAATTGACAAGCTTTGAGTTGATTGTTATAGCAACAACCCAATAACTGTATAAAAGCACTGGTGACCTTTACCTGCTGTCTATAGCGACGGAGCCATCATGTAATGAGACTGTTTGCTTTTTAAAGGTGATCTGCGCCTCATCGAAAACAAGTAACATATGTTCAATTACTTGTGATACTCAGTACATCTACTGGAGCGACTGATATCTGGGAGGTTGAATCATCCTTTAGTCCAATTATATTTTTTGAATAATATTTTTGCCCTGTTCAAACAGGAAGTTATTCTTCTAGGAAACCACGGATATTTACTATATAAGTAAAAGTGATTGTGTGTGCTCCAGCAATGGGCATTTTTAAAAGCATATTGCTATATTTTAATTTGGTTATGTGGTTTCTTTGGTTAGAGGCAATCCGGCCGTTGGTCAATGTTATATTTTGCAGCATGTAAGCTGCCTGTAAGCCCTTAGTATTGTCGATGCCGATGAGGGGAATGCCACGTAGAACTTGTGGACAGACAAGATGGATCACTTGGGTTCTATCTGACGTAAAAACATATCAGGATTGTTCAAGAAAGTGAGATTCAAATTTTAGTTTAGAAAAGGCAAAGTGGAAAATTTCTTAAAATAAGCTAAGCTTTAAGTTTATCTTTAACTCTCAGTTTAGTAAATAACCCTGTACGTCATCTCAGATGGCCTGAATCCTTCTAAAGAGGGAATTGTGAGAACTAACATGTGAATTACACATTTTAGGTCAACAATGCTGAATTGAGAGAACAAAAAATAAATAAATCCCAATCTGAGCTATTTATAAACTCCATTCATGTCAAATCTGTTTAGTGGTGGGTAATGTATTGATCTGCACGGTAAGTCTTCCCTTCCCAGAGATAGACAATGCAGATCCTTTGATAATGAATTAGAGGATAAACAATCCAGACAGGGGAGAGGAACGCATTCTGGTTTTCCAAAGAAACATCCTTCGCCTCTGGCCATTGTATCTACACCCACCAATCTGTTTGCGAATTGGGTCCAAAATAAATGACCACCTCAGGAAGTGATAAGGGCGATTTAGCCACATTGTAACTGCTACTCTAGAGAAAGGATTCATAGATAATGTTTTACTTCATTTTCATATAATGTTAATTTTACAAAAGAAAAGGTACCAACTTGATACTTGTTTCCTTTAATACAGAAACTGTGGACCGTCTGCTTGATATTTGGGGATTTATTGATAACTACACATATTCTACATAAGTAGTTAAAGTGGTGCAACAATAATAAATCCCTTCAGTATTTATAGTCTCAATGAATTCTTTATAAATGCTGAGAGATTTACAACTTTGGACATTACAGAAAATAAACTGGTTTACACTCCCCCACTGAAACGTGTTCGATTACATTTGATGGACAAACAAAATATTTTTCAGCAAGATTACTATCCCCTGGTTAGAGGTATATCTGCACTCAGACGTGGCCCCACCATTTTCATATATTACTATTTCAAGAAAAATGTGTATATTTGAGGTATTAATAAATATTAATGGCTTATTAGAGAAATAGGTAAGCATGTTGGGGCCATAGTTTATGTATTTTTTATTGACAAACTGACTCGTTTTCTGATATTCTAGAGTTCACTACAGCTCACAACAATGCTGATACATTCATAGGCTGGAAGATACATTTATTCCAGGTTCATTTTTGTCTAACTTACAGAAATACATTGTGTGTTGATTTTAAAGACTGTTTACCCGTGCAAGTGTGTGAAATCTCTAGCCAGACATCAGCTTGCGTAATAACCCGTGTCCGAAGGGTTTAGATGACAGATGACAGATAAATGTGTCTAAGGTAAGACTGCTGAGAAAAGAATAGTAAACAATAAGTAAAACTGAACAAAGAGAAGTAACAACAGATAAATCTAATCACTAAAAATTGCTAAGATTGGTAAATTGGTACAAATTATAGAGTGAAAATGGTAAATTGGCTTCAATTTAATATTTTTGGATACGTTTTTTTAATGACTTAATGTTTGGAAAAATATTTTCATATTTTAGCCAGAAATATTAAATCCAGGCCATAATTAAGAATACATTAGCACATATCCCACATCCGGCCCACAAATCCTATTTAATTACTAAAAACATATTAGAAACTTCAGATACGATTTTTAGAGTAGATTCGCTAGACAAAAAAAATCTATTTATATTTTTTGTAAAACATTTTTTTCATAGCTATTTTGTTTGCAGCAATTGTTTTATCAAGGATTCTATCATTTCACCCGAGAATTGGTTGGAGTTACGCTGTTAATGTATTAATTGCGATGCATTGTAGGTGAAATATCTAATTATGGAAAGTGTCATCAATTATGGAAAGTGAGAATCGAAGGGAAACATCACACAGTGTGAACGATAGTTTTCTAAACTTATATCTGCCATGGGGATATTAATGCTGGATTATGCTCTAGAATCCAAAAACAATTATACATAACCCTTCCTCTTTTCATTTCAGATTACACATAGGGAACAGACAAAGTGGGATGATCGACTGATACAATAGAAGACTTTGGGGATTAAGAAGTGAATGATTCTCACCTAATGGATTAAAACCATTTTAATATGAATGTATGGGCTCATACATTGATTCACAGGATCACAGTTCTGCATCTCTGAGTTCTGACACTTCCCGAGATCACTAGAACATTAGGGTTTCTACAAAAGTGAGAATTCAAAGGGAATTTCAAATTTACTGTTGAAATAGCCAAACTAGAAACATTCTCCCAACTAGCTCAGCTGTCAGATTGGTTGGTTTGGCCTTAAATATAAAATCCACTTTGAATTAATTTTGAATTCTCACTTGAGTAAATAACCCTGTTTTTTTCCATTAGCAATATATTTATGACTTATGCCATATATTAACGTATTAACGTATGGAGAGATGGCAGGAATTTTTTAAATAAAAGGAATACGCGAAAATAGATGTTTGTTGATTACTCGTGTTTCCAGACTGTATTGTCTTTTAGTGGTTTGTTAGTATGTTGTTGTATTAATACTGAGTCAGTAAATTAATAAAAATGACCCATTTGAATGAACACATTTGTTCAGTGTAGATTTCCATTGTATTTGATCGGTGCACTATGTGATTATCGGTTTTACACGATTCAATGTACACAATGTTTTCAATCAAAAGATCTGGTATATTAGTTACAGATGCGTAACAGAGTATTGACCTTAGACATACAATGTGTGCACTTTTTGAAGTGATCTCAACTGGCATGGACAAAATCTGAAGACGTGGGTGGGACTGAATCTACAAAGAGGCATCGAAGACTAGATTTATCGCAGATGACTGTGTTTGCTAATTGTAATCTGGGCAGAATGAAGAGACGATGAAAAGGTTTAGTAGTGTAAATAATCACTGTGTGTGTGACATCTTGTCCAGAGGCTGAGATCACAGCAATCACATCTGGGAGTTTAGCCAGGACTAGGGATTGTAAGAACGTGAACGGAGGAATACTTTCAAATGTGTAGGGGTGGTCACAAACGTAATAACAGATCAGAGAGAGAAGAGAGTAGGCCATATTCAGCACAGATTACAGACTCTTAAAAATCTTGCACAATCAGTAATAAAATGTTACTTTCATTTGAAATAATAAGTTACCATGGAAACCACTTATTATTTAATTTAAAACATAAACAAAAAAATATGTATTTTTTGCTGTGTCTTTAAGACTAAAAATAAATAGTGACCTATGCATAAAACAATTAATATAATAGTATTTTTGTACCCAAAGTGACAATGTGCACTGTGCAATAAACACACAATTATGTGCAATAATGTGCAAATTGTAATATAAACCACAATAGTGATATAGACACCTTACACTCCTATTATACTCACTAAGGAGTTTTCCACTTTGCTTGTCACAGAGTCCCAATAAGTATCTCAAAAAAGAGAAGAAAAAAAGGACAAGCACATAGGGCAATATGTATAATAAAAAGGAAATAAATAATGGACTAAAAACACTCACAAATGTAGAGCAGTAAAGTCTGCTCAGAACTATGATGGCATCTTTGCTGTGGTGAAGGTAAACACGCTTTATTCACAATATAGATAAAATTGAAAATGTTGTACTTTTGTACAGTGCTTGATATAGTAAATTAAATATATTACAAAAGATAGCAGAGTGACCGATAGCAAGGGCTAGGGCTAGCAGAGTGATCTATAGTGAGGGCTAGGGCTAGAAGAGTGATCTATAGTGAGGGCTAGGGCTAGCAGAGGGATCTATAGTGAGGGCTAGCAGAGTGAACGATAGCAAGGGCTAGGGCAAGCAGAGTAACCTACAATGAGCGCGGGGGGCTAGCAGAGTAACCTATAGTGAGCGCTGGGGGCTAGCAGAGTGATCTATAGTGAGGGCTAGCAGAGTGACCGATAGCAAGGGCTAGGGCTAGCAGAGTGACCGATAGCAAGGGCTAGGGCTAGCAGAGTGACCGATAGCAAGAGCTAGGGCTAGCAGAGTGATCTATAGTGAGGGCTAGCAGAGTGACCGATAGCAAGGGCTAGGGCTAGCAGAGTGACCTACAATGAGCGCTGGGGGCTAATAGAGTAATCTATAGCGAGGGCCAGGACTAGCAGAGTAACCTATAGTGAGTGCTGGGGGCTAGCAGAGGGATCTATAGTGAGGGCTAGCAGAGTGACCGATAGCAAGGGCTAGGGCTAGCAGAGTGATCTATAGAGAGGGCTAGCAGAGTGACCGATAGCAAGGGCTAGGGCTAGCAGAGGGATCTATAGTGAGGGCTAGCAGAGTGACCGATAGCAAGGGCTAGGGCTAGCAGAGGGATCTATAGTGAGGGCTAGCAGAGTGACCGATAAAAAGGGCTAGGGCTAGCAGAGGGATCTATAGTGAGGGCTAGCAGAGTGAACGACAGCAAGGGCTAGGGCTAGCAGAGTGAGCTATAGTGAGGGCTACGGCTAGCAGAGGGATCTATAGTGAGGGCTAGGGCTAGCAGAGGGATCTATAGTGAGGGCTAGCAGAGTGACCGATAGCAAGGGCTAGGGCTAGCAGAGTGATCTATAGTGAGGGCTAGCAGAGTGACCGATATCAAGGGCTAAAGCTAGCAGAGGTATCTATAGTGAGGGCTAGCAGAGTGACCGATAGCAAGGGCTAGGGCTAGCAGAGAGATCTATAGTGAGGGCTAGCAGAGTGACCTATAGTTAGGGCTGGGGCTAGCAGAAGGATCTATAGTGAGGCCTTGAGGCTAGCAGAGTAACCTATAGTGAGCGCTGGGGGCTAGCAGAGTGATCTATAGTGAGGGCTAGCAGAGTGACCTATAGTTAGGGCTGGGACTAGCAGAGTTACCTATAGTTAGGGCTAGGGCTGGGAGAGTGACCTATAGTAAGGGGTGGGGGCTAGGAGAGTGATCTATAGTGAGGACCGGGGCTAGCAGAGTAACCTATAGTGAGCGCTGGGGGCTAGTAGAGTGATCTATAGTGAGGGCTAGGGGCTAGTAGAGTGATCTATAGTGAGGGCTGGGGCTAGCAGAGTGACCTGTAGCGAGGGCTGGGGCTAGCAGAGTAACCTATAGTGAGCGCTGGGGGCTAGTAGAGTGATCTATAGTGAGCGCTGGGGGCTAGTAGAGTGATCTATAGTGAGGGCTGGGGGCTAGTAGAGTGATCTATAGTGAGGGCTGGTGGCTAGTAGAGTGATCTATAGCGAGGGCTGGGGCTAGTAGAGTGATCTATAGTGAGGGCTGGGGCTAGTAGAGTGATCTATAGAGAGGGCCGGGGCTAGCAGAGTGACCTGTAGCGAGGGCTGGGGCTAGCAGAGTAACCTATAGTGAGCGCTGGGGGCTAGTAGAGTGATCTATAGTGAGCGCTGGGGGCTAGTAGAGTGATCTATAGTGAGGGCTGGGGGCTAGTAGAGTGATCTATAGTGAGGGCTGGTGGCTAGTAGAGTGATCTATAGCGAGGGCTGGGGCTAGTAGAGTGATCTATAGTGAGGGCTGGTGGCTAGTAGAGTGATCTATAGAGAGTACCGGGGCTAGCAGAGTGACCTATAGCGAGGGCTGGGGCTAGCAGAGTAACCTATAGTGAGCGATGGGGGCTAGTAGAATGATCTATAGTGAACGCTGGGGGCTAGTAGAGTGATCTATAGTGAGGGCTGGGGGCTAGTAGAGTGATCTATAGCGAGGGCCGGGGCTAGTAGAGTGATCTATAGCGAGGGCCGGGGCTAGCAGAGTAGCCCTAGCTTAGAAAACACATAGAGACAAAAAGAGGCTCCATGCATGTACATCTACAATATTTAGCAACACGTGGGGAATAATTAGCATTTCATTAGACGTTAATTGCCTGGATCTCTCCTCTCTGAGTTTTGAAGGGTTAATACACTGTCAGTCAATGTGTTCTGGGACGCACATTATAACAGTTGCCATAAATATTTTATATATAAAATAATGCGGAGACGCCGATATAGAGTCATTAAAACCATAAAAACGATTTTAGACTGTGATGTGATAAATCAATACAAAATGAAACTGACGTTACTAAGAATACTTTAAATCACAGCAGGGTGATAATTTCTCTCCAATTCCCATTAATTGTTCATCTCATGCCAGACACGGCTTGATTCTCTGTTATCGCAAAGCGCAATTTAACTGGGAAATAAAGCATATTCTAATGATATGGTCGTTGTGCTTTATATACAGTGTTCTCCCCCATGGTACATGCTGGGGGGCTGCTGAGTTATGCGTTATCAGTCTCTGTAGTGAAGCATGTCTAATGGAATGCCTTCTATGGTCGCACTCCGACATTCTGATAGGATGGAAAAGGCAGTACGAAGCTTGCTCTGCGAAGAAAACAATGGTGCACAAATAAAATCTCTCTGAGGTTTCATACTGGGTCAGCTAAATGGGCTAATTGGTTCTTACCTCCCTGCACAGTCTAGGTTTGTATGTTTCAATAAGACACAATAACGGTCAGTATTTAATGCTGAATCAAGCATTGTTCCCGTTAATGTCTGTTAAACGGGAAGTAGAGTTAAAAAGTGATTTGTAAAACAGGCTGTGAAAATTCTTATGCCCCTTTGTCAGATTGTTCTAGATCTTTCCAGACTGTTCTAGTCCCCTGTCACTAATTCAACAGACTAAGATTGGGTTACATCATTATCTCTGCCTAGAGACATCATTTTCTGACCAATTGTCCATTCTTATATCAAAGTTTAAACAATAAACATAGGCTTTAACACTATCATTACTAAGAGAGAACACTCCCAGCCTAACTAAGTCCACAAAAGCATGGGCGTATCTCTATTTCCACTAATACAAAGCTCTTCCACTGCAAGATAATGTGCCACCAGGAGGCCAGCATTTGTCTTGTCCTCCTCTTCTTCACCTCATCTAGGGAGCATTGTGGTCTGCCCTCCATTTGGTGCAGATAATTGTAACCCTATCCATACCGTACTACAAAAGAAGAGTTTTAATGCTGTTACAGTGGCATAGCACACCCTAACAATCTGGCCCTCTACTGGCGTAGTGGTGGTTGCCAGTGCCCAGCAAGTATTGCGTCCCCTAGCCATCAGGCCATTAGAACTCCCCAAATCCCTTAACAGGTGGCTATATAGCCTCGCTCCTCCTTCTCTACCGACCTCGTCTCCATGGTGTCTGTGACAATGATAGTTGCAGTGCGTCATTTTTTAAATCCAACTCTCGCCTAATGTAATCTGTATCTTCTATAGAAGGAAGGAGAGGGGTGGCGAGGCTACAGGAGGAAGCAAGAGCGGGCTATAGGAGGAAGGAGAGGAGTGGCGAGGCTACAGGAGGAAGCAGGAGCGAGGCTATAGGAGGAAGGAGAGGAGTGGCGAGACTATAGGAGGAAGCAGGAGCAAGGCTATAGAAGGAAGGAGAGGAGTGGCGAGGCTACAGGAGGAAGCAGGAACAAGGCTATAGGAGGAAGGAGAGGAGTGGCGAGGCTACAGGAGGAAGCAGGAGCAAGGCTATAGGAGGAAGGAGAGGAGTGGCGAGGCTATAGGGGGAAACAGGAGTGAGGCTATAGGAGGAAGCAGGAGCAAGGCTATAAGAGGAAGGAGAGGAGTGGCGAGGCTATAGGAGGAAGCAGGAGTGAGGCTATAGGAGGAAGGAGAGGAGTGGAGATGCTATAGGATGAAGGAGAGGAGTGGCGAGGCTATAGGGGGAAACAGGAGCGAGGCTATAGGAGGAAGCAGGAGCGAGGCTATCTATATGATACCATTCAATAGGCATCTTCGAATGGCAAGCATAGGCCTTATGTAATTCCCCGATAAGTATTACATGTATGGCTGTAATTAGCAAGACAATTACTGTAAAATGTTATATTTCAATGTTTATTTGCCCCATCATGTTGAAAACTGTGTAGATATTTTGGACATTTGGGAGATTTTCTGTGTGAGGGGTAGGGTGCACTAATTTTTAAAATGTAATATTACTACTTTATTATTTTGTTCTTTAGAAATTTTGCGTACCTAAGATATTTGCACTTAGGGCAACCACCCCTGTCCCTCCACCGCCACAATATGCCACGCTGCCCCTCCCTCTGACCCAAATACTTCCTTTTTTCTTTCTGTTTAATACAATGTTGTATAATTTATTTTTGTACTTCGAAAATTTGTTTTAATCATTTTGAATATTTGTGTGTATATAACAACATGAATGGAAAACGGACTTGCATTTGTTCAGTCAAATAAAGAGAAATACATGAAAAAAGAAAGAAAGAAAGAAAGAAAAGGTGAATACTGCCCTAAGTAGTCTAATACGATGAGGGGACGAACCTGACAACCCAGGCAGTCACCCTGCAGCCAAGCCGGCTGATTTGAGTCATGTGATCATGGTGTGGGACTGTGGGTGCACTTAATACTAAAGAGGTAAATTATGGATAGACAGACATATAGCTCAAATTTCGAGTTTTGTTTTTGTTCAGAACTTGACAATTGCCTTTCCCCCGTAAAGGGCACCTGTTATGCACCAAACAACTTGTGCTAATTAGATTATGCATACGGTTTTATCTATACATTGTGCTCGCAGTTTTGCAAGCAAATGTATAGGTTAGGAAAAACCTATTTAAACATAGGCTTTTCTCCCAGCTGTCAATCATTGCCTCAGCATGCTGAAACAGTGACTGATAAAGGAGAGCAGAAACGACCCACAGGATGTCCTTCTGCACTCCTGCCATAGCAACCACAGCATTTAGGAACCGATTGATGTGGTGGCACGCCGTTCCTGTTTGCGGTGTCTCACTTATCCTAATAAATACATTTGAAGATACATGGAGTGCCTGGATCCTCTTTCTACCACTGATATCTGTTTCAATGCCAGCATGTTCTTAATGAAGATAGCATGCCAACGTCACTGACGAGAATTCCCCTGATTGGAGCGGTGTCCCAAGCAGCAATATCAAAGAAGACTTCAGGAGAAGTGCAGGCGGAGGATGGCCAGGTGGTGGGTGTTACATGAAGAGTAACACCCACGAAGCGGCACAGGAATAGGGGGAAGGTGAGTAAATCTGTATATTTTACTTTGAATACACCATGTATTTTTGTTATATAGAGTGCAGTCAATGTATATGGGAACGATTTCCGACAAGTAAATTTGTCAAGGGAAAGAGCTTTCTTGAAGTCCCAGCGCCTGTTAGTGAATGGGAGCAGCTAGTTCATTGACTGAACACCTGAAACCACATTCCCCACATATACCCCACTCCCTTTAGAATGTAAACTCACTGAGCAGGCCCTCAATCCCTCTGTTACTGTGTCACTATACCCCACTCCCTCTAACATGTAAACTCACTGAGCAGGCCCTCAATCCCTCTGTTACTGTGTCACTATACCCCACTCCCTCTAACATGTAAACTCACTGAGCAGGCCCTCAATCCCTCTGTTACTGTGTCACTATACCCCACTCCCTCTAACATGTAAACTCACTGAGCAGGGCCCTCAATCCCTCTGTTACTGTGTCACTATACCCCACTCCCTCTAACATGTAAACTCACTGAGCAGGCCCTCAATCCCTCTGTTACTGTGTCACTATACCCCACTCCCTCTAACATGTAAACTCACTGAGCAGGCCCTCAATCCCTCTGTTACTGTGTCACTATACCCCACTCCCTCTAGCATGTAAACTCACTGAGCAGGCCCTCAATCCCTCTGTTACTGTGTCACTATACCCCACTCCCTCTAACATGTAAACTCACTGAGCAGGCCCTCGATCCCTCTGTTACTGTGTCACTATACCCCACTCCCTCTAACATGTAAACTCACTGAGCAGGCCCTCGATCCCTCTGTTACTGTGTCACTATACCCCACTCCCTCTAACATGTAAACTCACTGAGCAGGGCCCTCGATCCCTCTGTTACTGTATCACTATACCCCACTCCCTCTAACATGTAAACTCACTGAGCAGGACCCTCATCCCTCTGTTACTGTGTCACTATACCCCACTCCCTCTAACATGTAAACTCACTGAGCAGGGCCCTCAATCTCTCTGTTACTGTGTCACTGTACCCCACTCCCTCTAACATGTAAGCTCACTGAGCAGGCCCTCAATCCCTCTGTTACTGTGTCACTGTACCCCACTACTGAGCCCCTCAATCCCTCTGTTACTGTGTCACTATACCCCTCCCTCTAACATGTAAACTCACTGAGCAGGCCCTCAATCCCTCTGTTACTGTCACTATACCCCACTCCCTCTAACATGTAAACTCACTGAGCTATCCCTCACTCCCCCTCCCTCTAACATGTAACTCACTGAGCAGGCCCTCAATCCCTCTGTTACCGTGTCACTATACCCCACTCCCTCTAACATGTAAACTCACTGAGCAGGGCCCTCAATCCCTCTGTTACTGTGTCACTATACCCCACTCCCTCTAACATGTAAACTCACTGAGCAGGGCCCTCAATCCCTCTGTTACTGTGTCACTATACCCCACTCCCTCTAACATGTAAACTCACTGAGCAGGACCCTCAATCCCTCTGTTACTGTGTCACTATACCCCACTCCCTCTAACATGTAAACTCACTGAGCAGGTCCTCAATCCCTCTGTTACTGTCACTATACCCCACTCCCTCTAACATGTAAACTCACTGAGCAGGGCCCTCAATCCCTCTGTTACTGTGTCACTATACCCCACTCCCTCTAACATGTAAACTCACTGAGAAGGGCCCTCAATCCCTCTGTTACTGTGTCACTATACCCCACTCCCTCTAACATGTAAACTCACTGAGCAGGCCCTCAATCCCTCTGTTACTGTGTCACTATACCCCACTCCCTCTAGCATGTAAACTCACTGAGCAGGGCCCTCAATCCCTCTGTTACTGTGTCACTATACCCCACTCCCTCTAACATGTAAACTCACTGAGCAGGGCCCTCAATCCCTCTGTTACTGTCACTATACCCCACTCCCTCTAACATGTAAACTCACTGAGCAGGCCCTCAATCCCTCTGTTACTGTGTCACTATACCCCACTCCCTCTAGCATGTAAACTCACTGAGCAGGGTCTCAATCCCTCTGTTACTGTGTCACTATACCCCACTCCCTCTAACATGTAAACTCACTGAGCAGGACCCTCAATCCCTCTGTTACTGTGTCACTATACCCCACTCCCTCTAACATGTAAACTCACTGAGCAGGGCCCTCAATCCCTCTGTTACTGTGTCACTATACCCCACTCCCTCTAACATGTAAACTCACTGAGCAGGGCCTCAATCCCTCTGTTACTGTGTCACTATACCCCACTCCCTCTAACATGTAAAATCACTGAGCAGGGCCTCAATCCCTCTGTTACTGTGTCACTATACCCCACTCCCTCTAACATGTAAACTCACTGAGCAGGGCCCTCAATACATCTGTTAC